GACTAAATGTGAAAAAAAAAAAAATAAATATATATATATATATATATATATATATATATATATATATATATATATATATATATATATATATATATGTGTGTGTGTGTGTGTGTGTGTGTGTGTGTGTGTATATATATATATATATTTATATATATATATTCACATTTAGTAATTTATTAGACGCTTTTATTCAAAGCGATTTACAAATGAGGACAAGGAAGCAATTTACACAACTATATGAGCAACAATGAATAAGTGCTGTTGGCAAGTTTCAGGTCTGTAAAGTGTAAGAAGCAAAACATTAGTAATACATTTTTATTTATTTATTTTTTTGTAGTACAGTTAGCGGTGGAGCCAGAGAGGCAATTGCAGATTAGGAAGTGAAGTGGAGACTAAATAGTTGAGTTTTTAGTCCTTTCTTGAAGACAGCGAGTGACTCTGCTGTTCTGATGCAGTTAGGGAGTTCATTCCACCAACTGGGCAGATTGAATGCGAGAGTTCGGGAAAGTGATTTCTTCCCTCTTTGGGATGGAACCACCAGGCGCTGTTCACTCACACGACGTTTCTGTAGGGCACATAAATCTGCAGAAGTGAGAGCAGATAAGAAGGAGCAAAGCCAGAAGTCGATTTGTAAGCAAACATCAGAGCTTTGAATTTGATGGGAGCAGCAACTGGCAGCCAGTGCAAATGGATGAGCAGCGGAGTGACATGTGCTCCTTTAGGTTCATTAAAGACCACTCGTGCTGCTGCGTTCTGGAGCAGCTGAAGAGGTTTGATAGAGTTAGCTGGAAGCCCGCCTAGTAGAGAGTTGCAATTGTCCAGTCTGGAGAGAACAAGAGCTTGAACAATGAGTTCAATATGACGTTAGTTTAAGATGTTGCCTTGACGTTGGATTTTGGTCACTTTCCAACACAACCTATAATCAACCAATTATCAACATCATTTAATGTCATAATTAGACGTCAAAATAATGTTGTCCTTAGACGTTGGCTAAACATTAGACACAGACTGTATTTTGGTCACCTGACATCACAACCTAAATATAATCTAATATTAATGTCTTATGATGTTGTGTGCCTGCTGGGCAATAACTCTGCACTACAGAATGCTACGTTTACACACACACACACACAAATGACATGTAAATGCATCAGCTTTTTACAGCGTAATACTCACTTCTCTTTAGTACTTTTAAAAGGGCTACTTTTTACTCATACTTTGAGTTAGAGATCTGGACTAAAATTAGCTGTTCCCGCTAATGGGCGGGGGGGAGAACAAAACCCAAAACCACCCAGCTATACAGAGTCCAGACAGCCTACACTCTGTCTGTAGAAACACACACAGCACCAAGCAAGTAACACCCACACACAAACATCACACGCTCTCTCTTATTCACACACCACACGCATAGCACAAAGCTCTCTCTCTTATTCTCACACACACTCACAGACAGCAACAAACAAGCTAAACTCAGCATCACGCTGTCTCATTCACACACATACATACGCGTGCTCAAGCGTCAGGAGCGAAATTGTTAGACTGCCCACTCCTGTCCAAAAATACACCAGTTACCGACCGCTCCTGCGCTTTATTCGGAAATTTATTCCCGCGCTGAAAGAAATCTGGTCGGGTCCCGCGGTACAGCCCTCTACTTTGAGTGATATTTACAGCAGATACTTTTACTCTACTTTCACTACACTTTTAGGCAAGTAGTGGTACTTTTACTTAATTATGATTTTTTTTTTGATTTTTTGGCTTATATAGTACTTGCATTAACTGCAATAAAAAAAGCTTAAAAAAACTGTAATTCAGGGATGAAACAAATGGGTGAGTCAGTGAATCATTCACTGAAGCGATTCGCTCACAGCGAGCAGCTCCACTTATAAAATACACACCAGTTTTGTAGCGACATTAGTAGATCTATTTTCCTCAAAACTCATTTATTCATTCATTCATTTTCTTTTCAGCCTACTCCCTTTATTAATCTGGGGTCACCACAGCGGAATGAACCGCCAACTGTCAAGGTAATTGGTAATGTATTATATCTACAATCTAAATTGCACAATGTTAACTACTAGTTTATTAAACTGTAGTGTAAAAGCAATAGACAACCGAGCAAACATTTTGTCAACATCATCCTAAATTAACTTTTACCTCTTTTGAACTACACAAATAAAACATTTTTTTTATTCTGACCTTCCCTCACACACAGGGAAAACTAGACCAAAACCAAAACCAGAGGTCTGTAGCATCATGATTTAAGACGTCACAAGAGCTTTCCCCTTCAAAATACACGCACAAACCCGAATATACACCCACATAACAGTGGAATAAGCTACTAAACACATCAGGGGTTAGTGGTTAAAAGCACAGGCGCCCGAGGCAATTTACTCGTCTTTTGTGTTGTCTTAATTTTCTGCTGAGGAAAGCACTGAATGTTTTTATAACACTGACTCTGATGCACTGACAGATGTACAGTGAACCGGAAAAACTGGAATATCATATATTGAGTTATTATCCCACATGAAAAAAAATACCATTTAAAGTAAATGCAAGTGTTTTTGAACCATAATATAGTACTTAAATTAGTCTGTTGTGGTAATTTGCTACGGTATTACGACAGCTTTAAAAATATAATTTATAAAATTGCCTATTAGAGGGTACATTATACTAAAATACACCATTTTACTGAAGTAAAAAACCCACCGCATTTATTACATTTTATCAGAGCTGCCAACATGAAAACAAAAATACTAGTAATGTACAGTAAATACTGTAGTGTTTTTGAACCATTATTCATTCATTTATTTTCTTGTCGGCTTAGACTCTTTATTAATCGGGGTCGCCACAGCAGAATGAACCGCCAACTTATCCAGCAAGTTTTTACACAGCAGATGCCCTTCTAGCTATCCACACACACATTCACACACACACTACGGACAATTTAGCTAGATATTCTTCAAGACACTTCTATACAGCTTAAAATGACATTTAAAGGCTTCACTTAATTAGGTTAACTAGGCAGGTTAGGGTAATTAGGCAAGTTATTGTATACAATGGTTTGTTTTGTAGACAGGCTAATAATTTTGTCCCTAAAATGGTTTTTAAAAAATTTAAAACTGCTTTAATTCTAGCCGAAATAAAACAAATAAGACTTTCTCCAGAAGAAAAAATATTATCAGACATACTGTGAAAATTTCCTTGCTCTGTTAAACATTATTTGGGAAATATTTAAAAAAGATAAAATAATTCAAAGAAGGGCTACTAATTCTGACTTCAGCTGTATTAAAATATACAATATAGTAAGTAAATTGTAAGTTTTTGAGCCATACTACATTAAAGCACTTAAATTATTGAGGTAATTTTGTAGTTGCAGTGATAACAAAACAACCATAGGCTATATTATACCTTAATACACCTCGTTTACTGTAGTAAGCACTAAACTACACTCAACGGCCACTTTATTAGGTAAACCTCACTAGTGCCAGGTTGTACCCACTTTTGCCTACAGAACTGCCTTAATCCTTTGTGCCATAGATTCAACAAGATACTGGGAATATTACTGCATTTTGCTCCATATTGCATGATAGCATCACGCAGTTGCTGCAGATTTGTCGGCTGTACATTTATGATGCCAATCTCCCGTTCCACCACATCCCAAAGGTGCTCTATTGGATTGAGCTCTGGTGACTGTGGAGGCCATTTGAGTACAGTGAACTCATTGTCATGTTCAAGAAACCAGTCTGAGATGATTGAGCTTTATGACATGGAGCGTTATCCTGCTGGAAGTAGCCAACAAAAGATAGAGACACTGTGGTCAATAAGGGATGGACATGGTCAGCAACAATACTCAGGTAGGCTGTGGCGTTGACATGATGCTTGATTGGTACTAATGGACCCAAAGAGTGCCAAGAAAATCTCCCCCACACCATTACACCACCACCACCAGCCTGAACCGCTGATACAAGGCAGGATGGATCCATGCTTTCATGTTGCTGATGCCAAATTCTGACCCGAGCATCTGAATGTGTCAGCAGAAATGGAGACTCATCAGAGCAGGCAGCGTTTCTCCAATCTTCTATTGTCCAGTTTTGGTGAGCCTGTGTGAATTGTAGCCTCAGTTTCCTGTTCTTAGCTGACAGGAGCGGCACCCGGTGTGGTCTTCTGCTGCTGTAGCCCATCCGCCTCAAGGTTGGACATGTTGTGTGTTCAGGGATGCTCTTCTGCAGACCTCGGTTGTAACGAGTGCTTATTTGAGTTACTGTTGCCATTCTATCAGCTGGAACCAGTCTGGCCATTCTCCTCTGACATCTGGCATCAATAAGGCATTTGCACCCACAAAACTGCCGCTTACTGGATATTTCCTCTTCTTCAGACCATTCTCTGTAAACCCTAGAGATGGTTGTGCGTGAAAATCCCAGTAGATCAGCATTTTCTGAAATACTCAGAGCAGCCCGTCTGGCACCAACAACCATGCCACGTTCAAAGTCACTTAAATCACCTTTCTTCCCCATTCTGATGCTTGGTTTGATCTGCAGCAGATCGTCTTGACCATGTCTACATGCCTAAATTCATTGAGTTGCTGCTCTGTGATTGGCTGATTAGAAATTTGCGTTAACCAGCAGTTGGACAGGTGTACCTAATAAAGTGGCCGGTGAGTATATACTACAGTAGCCTATTTCTCAAGTGGTTCTAAACCTTTTTGAGTTTCTTTTATTTGTTTCTTTATTGGTACCACTGTAAAAAATATATTAATTATTATTGCAAATTTTTTATAATAATTGTAAAAAAAAATTGACTAATCTGTTTGGTCTTTCGATTTTACTACTTGTATGCCAGATATTTAGATCCCAGCGCATTTTTTTTGTATTTTATAAGCAATATTTAACACTTTCTTTGATGTCATATTTTAATGCACTGCCAGTTTTAAGTGCACTCAGGAAAAAAAGTGCACTCAGTATGACGTCACTGGTCGGTCATTACTCACCGATCTCACGCACTGAATTTCGGACATTCCTGGTGTTGAGTCCGCCGGTGTGGGACTGTCCCTCTCCCTCTCCCCGCCCCGCATCAGCATCACCTCCTCCAACATAAATATCCGCAGATTCTCGGTCTCACAGACACACGGAGGAGAAACGCAGAGTCGCTTCACTTTGGATTAAGACGCATTTTGTTTTGAGAGGAAGAGAAGTACCGCGCACTTGTTTCTGGAGGTAAGACGCGAACAAAGACTTATTATTAAACATGTTTGTTCTTGTAGGTTGTGTGAGTTTAAATGTTTCAAAACACTCACACAGCTTGGCAGACTAGAAAGCAGCGTTTTGAGGCATCAAAAGCGCGTTCATGTTTAGGAAAACCCAGTACAGCGATGCCCAAAAATGCGTTTCTAGTACGCAGCGAGTGCGCTTTGAGACACGCGTAGTTCATCGATTATACTGTATATCACTTGTTACAGACTGCAGTGTGAGAAATGCACGATTAATATATGCACATTTATTTCATTTCGTTGGTTGTTTGTATTATTAAAGGCATAGATTACTCAAAAACATTATATTTACTCTAAAACTTTTATGAGTTCTTCTGTTGAACTCAAACGAATGTATTTTTAATATTGTTGGGAAAGCCAGCCATTGACTTCCATAGAGTTTTTGTTGTTGTTGTTCCTACTATGAAAGTCAATGGCTGTTTTTTCCCAGCATTATTTGGAGTTTCTTGATTTGTATTTAGCAGAAGAAACTCAAACCGGTTTGGGACAAGAGTAAGTGATGATGATTTAGATTTTTGGAGTGAACTATCTCTTTAATTCACCATTTTGCATTGTAGTCTAATAGTCAGGTTGATTTAGGCATTCACATTTTTGATCTGCATTTGTTAAAGTAGATTAATCATCTTTTTTAATGAGGCGACACGGCAGCTCAGTTGTAAGCACAGTGTCCTCACAGCAAGAAGGTCGCTGGTTCGAGTCACGGCTTGGTCAGTTGGCATTTCTGTGTGGAGTTTGCATGTTCTGTGTTGGTGTTAGTTTCGTCCGGGTGCTCCGGTTTCCCCCACAGTCCAAACACATGCGCTATAGCGGAATTTATTAACTAAATTGTCTATAGCGTATTGTTGTTTCCCAGTACTGGGTTGCAGCTGGAAGGGCATCCGCTGTGTAAAACATATGCTGGATAAGTTGGCGGTTCATTCCACTGTGATGACCCCTGATGAATAAAGGGACTTGGCCGAAGGAAAATAATTGAATGAATAAATCTTTTTGGTTCTCCTTAATTTTTTGAGGTGCTTATATTATAAAAATACACCAATCTAATGCAAGTACATTTGAACCCAGTTATATAGCAGGGGTGTCCAAACTTGCTTCTGGAGGGCCAGTGTCCTACTGAGTTTAGCTCCAACTTGCTGCAACACACCTGCTGGAAGTTTCCAGTATATCTGGTAAGAGCTTGATTAGCTGCTTCAGGTGTGTTTGATTAGGGCTGGAGTTAAACTCTCCAGGACACCGGCCCTCCAGGACCGAGTTTGGACACCCCTGGTATATAGAATATTTCTGAAGATATGTCAGTAGAAAAATGGCATTGTAAGGTAAAATCTGACTTTATGAATAAAACAAAGTGAACTTGGATTTGAAATGCTCCCCACACTGCAAAATAATAAAAAATGTTCTTGCTTTAAGTTTTTGTCTGCTTTCTAGTCCAAAATATCTAATGATTCTTGAATCGAGAAGCATTTTCTAGACAAGTAAAAACATTGTATTGCTTTCAGGAATAAGTAAAAAGTAAGTGATTTTTTTAATTGAAACAAGCAAAATAATCTGGCGACGGGGTAAGAAAAATGACATTATTTCAAACCAAAAACAATATTTAGCTTAACCCATTGGCGGATTATTATGCCTGTTTTAAGGAAAAAATTACGTCATTTTGACTTATAAAACAAGAAATTCTTTTGCTTGTTTAGAAAATGCCTTTTGATTTAAGAATCTTTAAATATTTAGACTAGAAACAAGACAAGCAAAAATCCAAGTAAGAAGTAAGTATTTTTGGTTTGTGATGCATTTATCTTACTTCATAGATTATAAACGTGTGTTTGAGAATATATATTTTTGTAGATATGAACATAGTAGTTTCTTACACAAATGTTGGGATAAAGTTGCTCCTATAAATATAATAATAAAATAAATTACCCAGCAATTGGTTTAGTACATATTTGACCAAAAATAGCATTGAAATAACCAAATTTAGAGTGAAGACAGTGATGAAGAGTAATGTTGACAGATTGATCCAGTCATTAAAGCAGTAACATTGTACAATATAGTCGTTTATATTGTGGATATTGTATTAACAAATGTAAATAATAATGTGTTAAGTAAGTAATGTGGATCGTTATATTCTAAAATGATGCGCTTTTTCAACCCGATTTTGGCAAAACCAACTGCAAGGTTAATTTGAAATTGGCTCATTGGAAATATGTGTCCAGGGCTACAGAGAACCTAGAAATAAGTACCCGGGACTATGTCTAACAAATCCAGAGGGGTGTATATTAGGGGTGTAACGATACACTCAGCTCACGATACGATGTGTATCACGATATAATGTTCACGATTCGATATGCATCACGATATTTGGAATAAAAATTGAAAATTAAACTGAAATGCAAATTTTACCAAGTAAACTATTTTTTTATGTATTTCTTTTGTTTCCACTTGTTAAACTGATCCTTCTTTAAGAAAATAAATTAAACAGGCCTGTCTCTGGAAAATAAAACAATTTAAAAACTTCTTAAAAATATTATTGAAATGACAGAGACAAAATTAAGGAACAATTTAAGTAAAGGTGCAAAATACGCTTTCTATTCAATTGAATTTAACAGTAAGAGCTTAAGGCTTTGCTTGGTCACTTGCGTTTTTTGTGTGTGCAAAAAAAATCCACATTTCCATTATATATTTATAATTTTTCTTTTGTAAAATATTTCCTAAATGATGTTTAACAGAGCAAGGAAATTTTCCAGGAATATGTCTGGTAATATTTTTTCTTCTGAAGAAAGTCTTATATGTTTTAATTTGGCTAGTTTTTAATTTTTTAAACACCATTTTAGGGTCAATATTATTAGCCCCTTTAATTTTATTTTTTAATTTTATTTACTGTCATCATGGCCAAGATAAAATAAATCAGTTATTAGAAATGAGTTATTAAAACTATTATGTCTATAAACTATAAAACTATAAAATCGGATGGAGTCACAAAATCTATATTGACCATCAAGATCTGCAGTGTACATGCAGCCTAAGTGACGCTGGTGCACACACAGTCCTGCAGCTTTCAAGAGCTCCAGGTTTTAAATGCCTTTTTGTCAGCAGCAAGTTGCTCTCGCTCTACTCTTTCACGTGATCATCCTTTATTATTGCACAAGGTATGTTTTTCTTTCTTTTGCTTAGTTATTTTGAGGTAAGAATCATTTATTATTTTGTACATTTTTTTGGTGTTGAGCCCTGAAAAGTCCTGTGAAATAAAACCTTATTGCAATGAGACACTATAAAACCACAACTTTCTCACGCTCATTGAGCAAGCTCATACGCAAAAAAGTGAAATGAATGAGGAGGCGTGTGGAAATAACACAATAATATAAATTAAATAATTTTAGTATGCCAAAGTCAAATTTATCCATATAAAATATATTTTCCCAACAACAAAATTGTGGCTAGTGAAAATGCAGAGTGGCTAGTAATGTTGGAAAACTACTAACCACAGTGGCTAGTGATCGAAGAAGCTAACGTCAAGCCCTTCCAGTGAGTGTTGGTTAATTCATTCATTCATTTATTTTTTTCCGGCTTAGTCCCTTTATTATTCTGGGGTCGCCACAGCGGAATGAACCACCAACTTATCCAGCATATGTTTTGCGCTGCGGATGCCCTTCCAGCTGCAACCCATCACTGGAAAACATCCATACACACTCATTCACACACATACACCATGGACAATTTAGCTTACCCAATTCACCTGTACCACATGTTTTTGGACTTGTGGGGGACCCGGAGCACCCAGAGGAAACCCACGCCAACACGGGGAGAACATGCAAACTCCACACAAAAACGCCAACTGACCTTGACGATGCTTGAACCCGCGACCTTCTTGCTGTGAGGTGATTGTGCTACCCACCGTGCTGCCCTGTATAATAAATATATTAACCCAAATTTGGATTTGTCGATATTTTATCCAATTTGGTTTGAAATAACTCAGCATTTCTTTGAGTCTCTCCTCCAAAAATGCCGTTTTAAATATGGACACACACAATGTTGGGTTAATTTTTTCAGTTCAATTTAAATGACACTATTTAACCCAATGGCTGTGTTTGTCCACATTTGACCCAACATCCCCGTATTTTTTAGACTGCATGATGAGTATGCATTTGTTGTGTTGATAGTCTGCCCGGTTTGAACCATAAACCGACATGTACAGTCATGTTGATTCAGGTTCCTCTAGTTCAGCTTGCATAAAACCTGTTATTTAAGCTTTAACCAGAAGAATCAGCATTTAAAAGCACATTTCATTGAATAGCTCAGCTTTTCTCTGTTCATATTTGCTTGAAATTGTGCTCTATCCTATAAGAAATATCTGGATTTCGTGATTGACAGATGTTTTTGGTTTATTTACAGTTTCTGTCCACTTTTATTGCTGAATTTTTAACTATACAGTTTAACAAAGTGACTTTTATTGGCATTTTAGTAGTCTGAAACAATAAATATGACACTGTTTAACCCAATGGCTTTGTTTGTCCATGTTTGACCCAACAACCTAGTATTTTTTTAGGCCCCGTTTAGTTTTAAAACTGCGTTTTAGATCAAAAACGATCCGCGTCCACACTAGCGTTTCACCTAGCATTTCTGAACATATCTCCGTCCACACTACTCCACTAAAAACGTATATCACGTGACCATTCGTGCACTCTGGGCATGCGCATTCTAGTATAAACAGGAAGCATGTGTCTCGCTCAGCATTTGGTTATTGTTTGTCAACAAACGCCGGTTGAACAATGAACGCGATGGCAAAGAAAGCAAGAGAGGTGTTTTTGTGGACAGACGACGAGGTCGAGTTGTTACTAAACGTAACAAATGAATAACTGCACAATGGTGCCTAAAACAGACAATAGTGCAAACAACGCTCCCATTTCTGTGCCCATGTTGTTGTTTACAGTAAAGGCTGGTCTGGGTTCTGTTCTTTGT